TTTTTTTTTTACTCAAGTCAGTATCACTTCTGGTGAGTTGTTTCGATTTTTGCAAATTGTCGGAGTTTTTTTCATACGCAGATTTAATGATGTCCCAAAAATTGACATTTATGTAAGATATCTCTCAAAGCTTGTGAAAGAATAGTTTGCATGTAACAGTATTGATGTTTTAGCCGTGATGGCTCAGGAGATAGAGCGCTCCCAATGTGATGACCCGGGTTCGATCCTTGCTATGACTGACTGATATGAATTCCGGCTTGCACCGACCACAGTGCTGAAGTAAAATATCCCCAGTGGTAGACTTACTGTCGGGCTAACCGTGGAAGGTCCATGTAACGCAAATGCGAGTTAGTCCATCAAAAAGTCTCCCAATAATTGATCCAGGAGTCTTCTGGATTGGGTTCAAAATGACGGAGTTGTCTGGGCTATAAAAGAAGACCTATGAGTCGAAAACATTCAATCTTATTATTGCAATACTAACTCATATTTAACGCACGAAAATCTTAGCAAATATTATTTCAACTTAATGAGAGTCTTTTCATCAGCCAATAAGAGCTGATGCATAAAAACAAAGAGTCAAGTACAATTTGAGAACTGTGCAATATCAGAGCTATGCAAAAATTCGATATTAATTTAAGAGGACTTGAATGTTCCGGAGCATTTCTGAAAACGCTTGTTAACAGCAATTCAGAGAATAGAAAAATATTGATTTTTAATTAAATTAGGTCTTTCCTATCGTCTATTTATGTTTTGTTCATTCCTTTTCATGGTCACTTCAATACATTCCTAAATAAATTATAAACATATTATAAACATTCCTAAATAAATTATAAACTTACTCTTTCTTCAACCACTTCAAAATTAATGCTTTTGAAGCATTTATATATTTAGAAAAGGAAGAAATATACATATCGTGAAAAGATCGGGGAAAAAACTGCAATTAACACTTAGAAATACGGTACCGAAAACATCAAAACCTGTTTATTTGTAAACAGAAAAGAGTCTCACGTTTCTTAGCAGTTCCTCCCTTCCAGGGCTATCTCCCTTCAGCATTAATTTGCTATTATTTTTTTTACAGTCGAGGAAGGAAGTTTTTTTAGCTTGCTTACACAAAATGAAATCATCTGTATAAATAGGTTCCGCTAAAAGTGTCAATTATTTCTTTAGGATGTCGTTAGCAAAAAATAAAAGCTCTGTAAATTTATATTTGACTATATTATTTGAGTGCCTATTTTTTTTCCATTTGTTTCTTCTGCCAGAGTGATGCTTAAATGTGCAAGGAAACAACATCAACAAAAATTCATTAAAAATAATAATAAATGATAGTAATGTATAATCAAATTATAAAAGTTTAAAAAATATAGTAATTTTACAACAAGAAAAAACGGAAAAATATTTAAAAAATTTAACCCAAAGTGCATCAAAATGCACTTTTCAAAATGGAAAAATGTAGAGAAAACAAGGAATATTTTTGCTTTGTGACTAAAAACAATTTTGTAATATTTGGTGTAATTCTAAAGTAACTACTTGTGCCAATGGTTCGAAAATGCTGATTACTGAGTGCTAGTCTTAATTTATTTCTTAACAGGCGTAATATTATTTATAATTATATAATTAAATTCAGGGACCGATTAAGAAAAATTCAGGCCACCAAAATGAATAAATAAATAATTGAATTGTAAATATGAATTAAATAAATAAATGCCGACACCATGGAGTGGGTGTTACATTTGAAAATACAACTTTTTCTAAATAACACTGTTAAAGATTTTCTATATAAGGAGATCATTCCTATTGATAATTTTACTCTTTCGCCATTTCTACAACTTTTTTTTAAACAATTTTTGATTCACTTTTGAAGTTTGTTCTATTCGATGAAAAAATAATTTTTATTAGTTTTTTTTTTATAATTTATTTTTGTTTAATTATTTTATTTAATAACTGTCGGAAATTTTTTGAATTGCAATGTACAAATTTTGACATTAGTTTAAGCTATAGCCGTTTATACTACTGAACACGAAATTTAAACAAAATGAAATCAGCTTGTAATTTTATAACTATCGATTTACTTCAAATTTTCTTAGTTTAAATTGTTTTAAAAATTTATGTACCTTACTTTAAGGAGTATCTTTAATACTAAGGCAATTTTAAAATGCAACTCAAAATAATTAATAATTTGTATAAAAAAGATAATTCGATGTCAAAAAGGCGTTATTCCAAAATAAAAAGCGATTCTTTGAAGAATTTGATTTCAAAATTCAATATGGCAGTGGATTCAAATGTTAAAAAATCATTCATCTTCGGCTCAATTTGTATAAGTTAAATTTTGTCGTTAAAAAAAATTTTTTTGAATTGATTCGTATAATGAAGATTTTATTTAAAAAAGACTGCATATATAATTTTTATTTTATGTATACTATCATAGATAATAAGCAATGTTTTTATCGATTATAAATAAGTGTATACATTTTAAGTTCGCCAAGTTGATAGAGTTCTTAAGAAACTTTTGATGAACCAATTTGAAAACCGATTATTCAAACATGCGTTTTTAAAAAGTGTTTAAAGATTAACGTTTTTCAAAATACCTTAAAGATGCTTTTTTTTATTCGGCATTTGTAAAAAGTGCTTTCAGAAAGAAATTTTTTTCTTTGCCGTGTCGTTCTAAATTACAACGAAAATTTCTCAATTTTATCAGAAACTAGCTATTCTTTCATGATTATGTTAAGTTTTTGAAAACGTTTTTCAATTTTATTGATTTTATGTTAAGAACTTCTAACAATAGAAAAAAATATTTTTTATTGCTGCACAGATCCTAATTATGATTTTTTTTTTGGAAAGTGATTTAAAATATTTTTTGAGTGCTTAAAAAGTACTTAAAAGGTGTTTGTTTTTTATTGAAAAATTTTGCTATGCACCATGAAAAAAATATAATAAAAATAATATAAATTAACTGTCTAGATTAGGAATCCACTTTTTATTGTTGTAAATCAGCCCTAATATTTTTTATTCTTTTCTTTCTTAAAAGACATGTTTTTAAAAATACCATATAATATTGTAAAATGTTGTCGTATGTTGTGTTGCATTCAAATGAAATCAATCTTGTCATAATAAGTTGGTTTTAAAATATTTTCAACACTAGAATACATTCTCTTTTTTTACTCAGTTTGTCCTCATAATGTTAAATGTGACCCCTACATAATTTAAAAAATTTTCTAACTTTTTTTTTAAATGTTTTACAACAAATTATTAAAAGTCAATTGTATTTAAAATGCATGAAACATTAATTGCTTCATTATTATTTTTTTAATAAGTTCATTAAAAAAAATTTGCGGGCGAACACTGTTATACATTTTTAATGACATTTTCATTGATTTCTATAGTCTATTTTAAAAAATAAAAAAAAATTAGTTTGAAGGGATCAAATTGTATTCCTTGGAGAAGTTATAGCTTAAGTGTTGTACACTGTTAGAATTTTCATTCTAAAATTATAGTATAATAATAGGCAGCAGTTTGTCCATCCAGTTAGCTGTAAACTTTACTGTTAGAAACATTTTTCACCTTTATGGTATCTTAACTATTTACAACTGCTTAAAAGAAACATGAATACAAAACTAAACTGTTTTTTAACCATTTTACAACTGGCACAGTTTTAAAACCGTAATAATGAAATTAACTAGACCTTGAAGTTAGGAATTTTTTAAGGTAATGGTTAAGTTGTGATTGAGTTGTGTTTTGTCAAATGAACCGTGCAATGTGGCATAACTAATTTCTCTGGTGGGGCTATCTATGCGTCAATGAGAGTGTCGTATTCTGATAGTCTTGGGGGGTCGCCAATTGTGCAGTGCTAAACACTAGATACTCTTCATGTGTAGAAGAAATATTGTAGTGTCAACGCTGGATTTGAACTCCCGTTCAGCCGGTCATGAGATTGACAGATTATCCCTACTGGTGATAATATGTACCCAACTTCAAAAAATTTAAGTGGCTTGCTTCAATAAGTTGACCTAGTTGGTGGGTTCTGGCTGTTTAATCGTATTAGAGGAAAACAGTCAATAGACGATTTTTCTTACTGTTAACAGTTTGAATAACATCTTTTTTTAAGGGTGTTTTGACTGTTTTAGTTAAATATGGTGAAATAACAATTAAATAAACTGTTAATTAACTAATTTTTTTGAGAAATTTCTAAGAGTATTGGTGAAAAAAATGTTTTTACCTTTTGCATTAGTTTTATAGTTTTTCTGAAATAAATTTTACTTACAAAAAATATTTTGATTCAAATGATACAGTCCTCTCATATAAAGATCTGCACTGGTGTGTAAGAACTACTGGATTGATTATAATGAAATTTGATATGTACATACATTAATACAAAACAAATAACCATTCAACAGACGTATGATCGTGCGTAACACTCGTTGGAGTTGGTAGGTATGAAATTGCCACAGGAAATGATAAACTGCCTTATTTCACGAATGAAATCACGCTGCAAGGCCTGTATATCTGTAAGAGGGGACCCCCGATTAACCCATTTTTTATTTATTCTGCAACCACTGTTTCATACCTTTCGACTCCAACGATTATTACGCACGATCATGCGTGTGTATTACAATTGTTGAATAGTTATTTGTTTTGTTTTGTATCAATATACATATGTACAAATCAAATTTCATTAAAATCGGTCTAACAATTCTAGAGATAATCAACCAAGTCTGCAAATTATCTTAATTTCTTACACACCAGCGTATATTCAGTATGTTCTGTAATCACCGCCTTTTATGAAATTATTGTCGAAACATAACTAGTGAAGAAGCATCAATGGTGAAACTTAGTGGTTGCTAATAATTGCATATTTTGTTCTTTTTTAGCTCCTCATTTGTGATTCCTCTTATACTTTCACGCTTAAACTTGAATTGAGTAATCAGCATCATTTAATTTTTGACATTAAAAATTATAATGTTCATAAAATAATGTTATTTTAATTTAGGAATTTTCTATTTCAGAGAGGAACTAGTCTAGTCATAGGTCTTAATAAAAGATGCCAAAGTAAGTCAAATCTTCTATTAACGTATGATAACATTTTATTTGTACTCATGATAACACTCGAGATAACTGTATGACTTTATTTGCATTGTTAGGGACGTATCAAAACTTGCCAAAGTGTCCGGTTCATGAAACTGGAATAAATGAATGGCTTGCCGGAATTTTACACTTAGAGGTCACCCTCTTTTAAAATTCCTTTACTTTTTTTTTCAGTTTTTCGTAAGCCACTGCTTGATTTTTGCCAAATCTTGGCAGCTATTTTGGCGCAGATACGATACAGAAACTTTCCCACACTACTATTTTTTACTTTTTCTTTAAGATAAAAAAAAATTTTTTTTGACTAATAGCATATATATTTTTTGTATTTTTTATTCTATTTTCTTAATTAAAATTTTTTAAAAACTAAATTTCAAATTTTAAGACGCTGTGCTTTTTTTGAAACTTTCCCCTTGGGGAGATTCCTCCACAGACTTCATTGTTTAGGACCAGTGAAAGGTAAAAGAAGCGTTTTCTCAAGCCCTCTGAGAGTATATATATACTCCGGCACTTTTTCTCAAATTAAATACGCTAATAATAATTACTGCAATTAAATAAGCTGAAATTTACAGTACATTATTATTGATAACAGAGAGAATTGTGCGCCGGAAAAAATCCGGATTCCGCCATCCGGAAAGTTTCAAGAAATCATCGATCACATTTATGTATAAAAATTCTTATACATTTTATTTAAAAATATTAGAACTAGAATTTGCAGTTGTCATCTCATTCATTTGTGAATAGTTTTTCTGGTAGAATAATAAAGGTTATTCGAGATAAAAATAAACTTATATATAATCATTAATTTAAAATATACTGCTTTTAATTTAATTAGAATTTCATGTTGTGAAAATATCAATGATTTAAATTTATAAAGACATTAATTATTTGATATCCGTCATTAATGATTGTGCTCAAGAAATTTTCGGGATTTTTGAGTTGGGCTCACAATCACCCCTGTTGATATTATCTGAATATCCTGTAATAAAATATTAGCAATTAAAAAAAATGATCCAAAGCATGCGAAATACTATATAACGAAACTCAAACTGCAAACAAGTTTACACCCACATAAACCAATAAGCATTTCATCCTATTCCGTCAAAATATAAACAAGTAGTAATTCTATACTCCAATCACAGTCTTTTGCATCTTTAAATAGACCGTATCTCGATGACAGATACGGTTCGTCACAAACTTATTCCCCCCAAAATGAACAAAGGGCATTGTAAGGAGTGTTACAAAGGAACACCTGCTAGTAAATGATAGCGAAGACGCTAGAGGAAGGGTGTTTGAACGGCCAGAGGACCACTCGTCTGGTCAGCAGATGGGGAGATTGACCCCGTCCGAGGAGTCTGTCGAGGCACACGTAGGCACAAGCCATTTTACATGCAGAAAGGTAGACCCCCTGGCCTGCTGTGGTCAATGGCACGTGGCATCCATGTCTAATTGGTTGATATCCATGTCTAATGAGGGAGGGCTTTCCTTCAACTTTGCGAGGTTGCTCTCTCCGTTACAGAGGCTATCTTTTTAAGGGTATGTTCTGAATGCAAAGTCATAAACTTCGTCCGATCTAATATTTAAAAATTAGTTGCATTATTTATATTGCAATTAACTAATTGTAATTATTTAAATTATTTCCGTTGTTTATGACTATGATTTAACTATTACATTCACAGCAACAAATTAGTTAACAAAAAATGATTTATCAATCGAAAACAAATTAAAAAGAAAAAAGTGCATTAACATTTAATTAATTTTGTAATTTTACTCCTTTAAATTTGTTAATGTTGAGCAAGACATTTTGTAGATGCATTCTAATCATAATGACATGAAATGGTTTTTCGCTCCGCAAAAACATATT